AGAGTTATTAAGATCTGCCGTTATAAGGAGTGAGATTAATATGGATTTTTTTGGTTCTGCGAAATTGTACCGGTATAGGCAATGCCGGTATAGACAGAGTTGACTGTAAATAAAAGCACTTTTTTTAATAAAATATTATGAAATTCGATAAGTCGGTCCGACTTATCGGGAGTGACTATGTAGTGACTATGTATTTTCTTTAATTTCATACAGTTTAGCAAGCGTTGCGTGAGTCAAATTAGGATGAGCTTTCTTTTTTAAACACAAATCCGTCTTTTTTGAACGCCCGTTAGAGAAACTCGCTTTATTGCAGGTTTTTTGCTAACCGTACTTGTTCATATGTCTTTTAATTGCTGCGAGAATAGAATAACTTATCACAAAAACATCGAAATCTTGATTAATTTAATTGGTTTAATTTAATTTCTTGCTCGATAAAATGATTACCAACTATGGTGATGATTCGAGATCGTGTTACTTATATAAATCGCACAACATCATTATAACGTTATATCGCGAGATTATGAGTAATCTTTATTATATCGAGCCCAATTTTATTTTAACTGAGTTGGCCCGGGAAAAAGCATCATATTATCGAGAAATCATTATATCGAGAGCCACTGTGTGAATAAACCCGTACATGTCGCAATTTTAAAAGTGGCTCTTAGTATCGGTTGTATCATAGATTATGGTAAGTATACTTCCGACTAGACTGATGCGTTTACGGTTCACTTAATTTCCCTCGTCGTCTAACGAGTTTAAGGGGGGGGGGGACAGTGGGTTGACATGGCGTTTATGTGAATAATAATTCTATTTGATTATTCACTCTTAGTCGAAGATCGCAATTTTGCGCCACAAGGATGACAAGTCTTTACTCAACTGTCGATGAAGTTATGGGTAAAACACCGACTGACTTTGGAAGTCTCGAGCAGGAAAAAAGTATAGTTTACAACTGTTGGTATCTAATGGATATGGATATTGATATACAAGTTCTCGCACGACACGTGTGTCCTATCTGCACAAGTGATATCCTTCAAAAATTGCCATTTTGATACGTAATACATTTTCTCAGTTTGATTTGATCCTTAATTCCCAACCGAACGCATTAAGAGATGATTTATTAGAAATAGGAGCAGGTGGAGTCTGTGAAAAGGCGTATTTATGGAGTAAGTGTATTAGATACGTTTCAAGCAGACAATAATGTAATTTCGTTTCGCAGGGTTATGTTTGATATTATTTGAAAAATTACCCGGAATGCACATACGATTATGTCTTGGTTGTAATCATAAAATTAACTGAATCGCAAGTTGTCGAAGGGTAAACATCGCTCCAAAACGTGAACTGTGCATGTTTTGTGGAAACGCGTCTGTTTTTAAGTTTTGTGAGATGAATTTTTAAATTGATTGTCCCGTTTTGGGATTGTCACTATTGGATTCCATTTTATCACATAAATGTATTGTGTTAACGTCATGGAAGGCGTCAGTAAATCAACGATTTGAAGAAGGCCGGGATATTATTGCTATATGAATGCTTCCAGCACCTTAATAATCCAGACATTCGTTTGTTTTCGGTAACGATGTGTGCTAAATTTTATTTTGAGTTACGGGTTGAGAGCTTAGTGGACTCAAAAAAAGTTATAGCCTTACTATTACTGCTGGGTCGCAAATTTGGCTGTGCGGTTTTCTTCGTGAAAAAGCAATGCTTGCAAGCATTACCATAATTGATTTCAGCTCAATCGGATGTCTCCAAAAAAATTATTGAAACATAAAAACACCAAATATGTATGTTGCAATATGATGGTATGGTGCAGATCATCTAAAGCTCGAAATAAATTAAGCAACTTTCAAAACCCTAAGGCTTTTCTATTAAATGATATGGAGAAAAACTAATCCGTAAGAATAATAGAACAGATGATGCAGAACAAAAGTTACGGTTTAGATTTTTTAGTCAACTAAAAAAGTTTTGAGTTTTAGGGATTTGAAAAGTGACAGTTTTCTTATGTTTTCTTAAGTTTCCTTATGAAAAATAGAAAATTTCGGACACACCGGTTGTGTAACTTTCGTGTGTAACAATCCGTTATTATTATCCAATAATTGCATGTAGTTTTCATGAGCATTCTCTATTGTTTCGCTATGCCTCGACCATCTAAAAGAAAAGCCGCGCACAAAAAAGTGTCTCGAAATAGGGGAGGCAGATTTATTAGTGAACTTAATTTTATCATTTAATAACAATTCGTAGATTTGCGCGAAAAACGTGGCGATATATGGATTTGCACAGACATGGAATTACAGGTAAATTAGCAGAATATGCTGCTAAAAAATATAAATCGCACAGAAGAATCCCCGAAGATGCATGGGATGAATTACAAACAAATTAATTTGAAACCAGAAATGTAAGTGCACGTTATATAAATAAGCATATACTGTTCAATCTGCAACATTAATATTAAAGTCGAATTTTACTTTATTCGAAATTTGAAGCGTTTGGACAAGTAGTATAATTTTCCAAAATAAAATATTAATTTGATCGAAAACCATAAATCCTCATTGTGATTTCAGAACATTTTATTGGGCTAATGTCATGTGATTGTTAATGATCAAAATTAAAGAAGGACAATGAGTAGGAATCGCTATTCAGACATGGCATGATTTGCAGAACAAAAATTTCGGACTGTTCGGTCTTTATATTTAGGTGACTCGCACCATACCTGTAATACAATATTAATATCGCGAATGTAACTTTGTAACAACAACACAATGTTCAACAAATTGTCATACAGTAAAATAAACCAAACTCTTATTTAGACTTGTTGCAACGTAAAATCATAAACCTAAAACCAGCCAAATTATTAACAAAACTAAAAAATAATAAGAAAAGAACTTAACCATAAGTTAGTTCATTAATTTCAAGTGTGGGCAACCTATGTAGAACTTAACCAATCTGTCATAAAACTCACGCAGAAGGCTGTGTAATAAACCGGAAAACTATTCAATATCAACGCCTTGAGTCACTAAATTATAATGCAATAGACAATATTAATATTTGACTTCATTTATACATCAATGTGTGTGATCAATGATTATCTTATACTATATACCTGCAGCCGAATCATAACTGTTTCTCAGTTTAGGCAATTCTCCAGTAGGTAAGAGCTTACTAGAGTATTTACTCTCCTTTTCGGAACGTGATATGGATTTTATATCTGTATAATAGATAGTCTTCCACGTGTTGTCATTCTCCACCTTATAATTAAGCTTAATCAAATCCCTGTAAAGTGTATTTGTATCAGGACGCTTATCAGGATCAGCATCACAACACCGCTCGGCAAGTTTCTTATATTCCTCTGGTGCGGAATCTGGCATCGATGGTCGTAATCCGCCCATGATATCACATACTAAACCTCCATCGAATTCTCTATTTCTAAAAGGTGGTTCACCAGTTGCCATCAAATACATAATGATACCAAAAGAATACACGTCTGACTTCTGAGTAAATTTGAAGGTATGGAAGACTTCCGGTGCAATAAATGGTAAAACGCCTCGAACTGTTGAATTTGACTGGAGTGAATTCACCGATCGTGAAAGACCAAGATCGCATATATATGAAATAATATCATCCGTATCATCATGTATAATTATGTTTCCACCATGTAGATCACAGTGTATTAATCCCACATTATGAATGTTACCCAGATAATTTGCAATATCTCTCAAACGCCTTAATTTATCCAACCACGTCAACTTGTTAATATTTTGATCCAAATAAGACAAAAGACTACCATTGTTAGCATAATGCATAACAATCATGTACTCTTGTGTTTCTGGATCTTGTGTCACTCCATAAATTTTAAGGAAATAATAAGCACTGCTTGTGCACTTGGCATGATTTTTGAACTATTAAATAAATAATAAATAAAGTCAGCTTAAATATCAATTAATTAATATTACTACCAATCATTGCTTACCTCTGAAACAAATAATTCCGACATCTGATCAAAATTCTTATATCGTTTTAACACAACAGTTTGTTGCATATGCTTTACTTCTGAATACTTTTCATATTTGGCAGTATAAACAGTTCCGTAGCCGCCACACCCGATCTCTTTAATTTCGTAAAAGTCGCTGTGCTGCATGTATTTAATATTAATATCAAAAATCCCTTGTCTGCGATATTGCATGATCTTGTCCAAAATAGTACGAGTGTCATAGTAAAAAACTAAATAATATCTCCGAGTAGACGGTTCTTGAGTAATTCCAATTATCCAATCATTATCAGGGGTTAATATCTTTGGGTATTCCAGAGTTAGCTATTTGAATATGTGTAAACAATACAATTAATAAAACAATCAATGCTTAATAGCAACTGCATTATTTTACACGTGAAATAATTTACCTTATGAAAATTATGCGATTGGGCATCACTGATCTGCTTGAGTGTCACTTTTATCAATTTATTTATCACCGGATCTAACCAATCCGTTACGTGTGTGCATCCATGGCGTAATGAGGTCATTTCCGATACGTTCATCAACGTGGAATACTCGATCCATTGTATATACGCATCATATCTATACTTCACATTACTCCACGATTCCACAATGAATGAATCCAACATCTTGTTACCCGTAGTCCAGTCGCGAGGTCGTGGTGCTTTGCATTTATAACAGAATGCCCTTATATTGGGTTCTAGCCGCTCTGTACACACCAGACATACTCCATTCTCACGTTTTATGAGATAATACTTTTGTTCGCTTGTTTTGTATGTAAATCCGACGGTAATCCAAACATCCGTGGTGAGAATATCTGGATGCTTATCACATAACTAGTGCAAATAATACATAATAAGTCAATAATTATTTAAAGTATTCAATAAACATGACGAATAAGTAAATAGTTTACCTCGGCATAATATAAATCATGTGTCTCATCTGTTATATCAAGTGGAATAAATTCAATGAATGCGTCGTGAGGTAGACCATCCAAGCATACACCATAATTTCCATTATCCTCAATACAATCGTATGGAATCCATTCCAGATAGGCGTCATTTGCTGAGTTTGTTTGTGACTGGGTCTTCTTTATAAACTCATCGAGTTGCCTATTGCTGCTAGTCCACCCATCGAACAATTGTTTATGTCCACAGATGCACCACACTGGACTACATCGGAGTAATCCACATGCGGAGCAGAATCCATATTGAGAATAATAGCGGTAAAAGCGTTTATCAGCAACCATGTAATAGTTATTATTGTATTTGGTAAACCCCTTTATTAATTTGTTGCGACGACTAAGCCAGGTGGAATATCGTCTAAACTGATTAACGTCATTGCTATTACTATACTCGTGTGTTGGAAGTGAGTATCTTCTGGCAAACTCACTCACAAGGGTGGCTGTACATTCTTCGATACTTCCAAGTAATATTAATGAAATTATCGTCGGTTTGTCATCGGCATGTGTTGGCTTCCAAATAGCATGGTGGATATTATCAATTTGACTGAGCGTTATATCAGTGATTTCTTCGTAAGGAATCCATTCAAGTATTGATTCATGTTGAATCAACTTGTCAATGGCTGGATTAGTACCATTAACTACTGACGACGACATCGTCTGGATAAAACGGTTTTCACTTCTCGTGTTACATCATACATATAAACATGGTTTAGTCACACGAACAAATACAGTACATGCACTCTCTCTAAATGCACAGTCTCCCTATATGCACGCTATCTGATGGGTTAATGCCAAATCCCACACGTGACAATGGATTTTGTGGTCCCGTATGATCTCCGCACATGACCTGATGGTATAGTCTGTCAATGTCCAAGACCTTTAAGTCATAAGACAATGATTTGATCATAAACGTAACGAATAGAGAATCTGTTTCCACTTTACGCATTTAGCCGATGAACGTTGTCAAGTCTGACAAACTTCATCTTTCTAAGTCAAGGGAAGTTGAAGAGTTTTTGTCAAGATATTGTTTATAAAGCGCCTAGTGATGATCACATAATGACAGAACTTTAGATATATTCAAAATCGCAGAAAATAGTAATAGTTTAGAACAGCAGCTATCAGTGCCAGTACGGCATTACAATGCTTGGAATTGTACAAGCATTTTTACTACAATAAGAAAATGCAAGTGAACACATAAAAGGGGCGAATATTCATATAGATCATAAAATATCGAGATCACGTGAAGTTACTATGCTCCCAGAGAGTTTACTGCACGCAACCTTTACCATTTGGGATTTGGTTAATAAAGCCGTTTTAACAAAAACTGCCTTATAACGAAGCTTTCATGGACATTCATATATGCTTAGCGCCCGAATTTATAATTTGCCAAACTAGAAATAATATGTTGGGGGGTGCGTGTTTGCTGATATAAAAAGAGATGTATTTCATACCGATTCATTATCAAGTTTAATTTAATATTCTAATTTCGAGGATGCAATTTTAGATATTTTTTTGGAAGAACGTGATTGCCTTTTGCGTGATTGACAAGACGGTCGGGTTTGAGGATTTGTTTGGTTGTTGGTTTCAGTAGAGGAGTCATCGAGGTTGGAAGTAGCAGATGAGGCTCGCTTCTTTTTTTTCATTTCGACAGCCTTGAGCTTTTGAGCTGACTGTTTGTGTTCTTTATTCCGTTTAATGAGTTGTACAGAAGTGATCTCTTTTCTGAAACAGATGATGGAGCGGATGGGTAAGGAGATGAATTTGTAGAGTTGGTAGAGGATGCAGTGTATGGATTGGTGTTTGATATAAATTCGAAGTTGCGTAGTTCGGCGCATAACTTGCTCTCATATACGTCTAACTCTCCCACGATAGAAACTTTGTTCGCTCATGTAAATTTTTCTTCGATACGTTATGACGTCGAATTCAGCTAAATTTGTAGTGGTGGCGCTTCCTGACGCGTACTGCGTAGCTTTTACAGTAAAAACCATCATGTTGTGATAGGTTTGTACGGCTACCTTTATGTTTCCGATGGCTCGCAGCCAAGTACGAGCCGGTGGCATTGGCTTCGGGGGTTTTAGCCGAGACATGACATTTGAATGCTTATATGATGGGATTCGTTAAAAGCGTTGTAAATATAATGTCGATTTGTTGAACTTTGAGTACTTACAATTATTGTTCCATTATTGAGGTTAGTTAGTGTACCGTTAATTTCCAGAATGACATCTGATGAGAAGGAAGTTGTTGCAGAATTTTGTTTTGGGACGTAGACTTCGACATATAAGCGGCAGATTGGTTCTTTCGCAAAGTTGAAAAGAGTTGCGTTTCTGCTTTGTTCTCGATTTGACATTGAATACGTGAAAAGCAGTTGAATTGATGTGTACGAGCATAGTTTTTATAATATTTCTTAGTGATGTTGGTTTTGGTAATTAATATTAATTTAAGGTATGTCAACTTTTTATATATTTATGGTTATATACTCAAAGTGTTAATGTTAATGTGATGTATCAAATCGTGTATGTTGTAGTATGTGAGTGCGATTTAAAAAATAAGACGGTGTCGTAGCGTTTTGTTGATTTTCATGTGGAAAGGTTTTAGTTGAGTTTGGCTTTTTTTTTTGTAATTCGGTGTTAAAGCGATTTATAGTTTTGTAATTATGTGATGCATAGTTGAGTTTATGTCAATCGTTGTAAAGTTTGAAGGAATAGTAATAGTAATAGTAGTGTGTTTTTTACGTTATAAAGTCGTAACGTATAGCGAATGTGACGTATAATTTTATTTATGTTTACTTTTTCATCTCAGTTTGATTTCATCTTAATTCCCAACCGAACGCGTTAAGATAATTTTATTAGAAATAGGAGCGGGTGGAGTCTGTGAAAAGGAGTAAGCCTCTACTTGCTGTATGAGATACGTTTCAAGCAGACAATAATGTAATTTCGTTATGCAGGGTTATGTTTGATATCATTTGAAATATTACTCAGAATGCATATATGATCATGTCTTGCTTGTAATCATAAAGCAACTGAATCGCAAGTTGTCAAATCTTCTAGATGGGTAAACATCGCTCTTAATGCGTGTGAACTGTGCATGTTTTGTGTAAACGCGTCTGTTTTTAAAGTTTTGCGAGATGAATTTCTAAATTGATCAAAGAAATGAGTTATTTCTTGATTGCGGCTTGAATGATAAAAATAAATAGGATGATCACGATCTACAGTATATGAGCGATACGGACTACATAATGTCAATGCGAGCCAAAATATAATAAGGGCTTACTTCGATTTCGGTAAAGGTTTGCTGAATTGTTTAAATTACGATAAAAATCCAACTAAAAACGTGCATTGCTTATCCTGGTCAATAAGGAGGTTAGGGAACAACTCTCTAAAGATATTACTGATACGATGCTTTATAAAAAAGAGAAAGATATACGAGCTTTTTGAAAATATAGGTGTATTTAGAATATCGCGTGTAAAATCATTTTCAGCTTTCACAATTTCGAAACTGAGTTGGGTTATATTGGTTATATTATTGTAGCTTGTACTGCGTGATCTGCCTCTGGGTCAGGTTGCCACAGAAAGTTTGACTTACTGATTTTTTAATGTTAAGTATTATTCGTACGATCATTTAATGGTTGAATATGCTAGATGCCACAAGTTTGTACTAACAAGACTCCTGGAGAATGGAAACAACAAATTTGGTCTCGCTTGCAGTCTTTCAAAGAAAAATGGACTTTTACCTATAGAGTAAAAAATATTTTTATGCAAGAAAATTATGCGCTTTCAAGATGGTAGATCATACGCTCCTATGATAGGATTGCCATCTGTTTATCTTGCAACGAATTAGTATACAACGGGGAAAAAAATCAAAATTATGAAAAATCATTGGAAACCAGCATGTACTAGTAATAAATATTGCAAACTAAAGTATGAAAAATTAAACGTAAACCCGAATCTGATCGTACATTCGACGATACGCGTGCCATGCACTATTATGAGCTATGGATATCAAACGCCGTCAGAAAACAAGGAAAGTCGGGAGAAAGATGCGAGCATGCATTCTTATTCAGCGTAAATGGATAGAATTTATATACCATCCCAATAGTTTAATTGTAAAGCAGTTGGCAGAGCATTACAAACAGTTATGGAGCGTTCACGAAGAAATGCGTTGTGAATGATCTCAGATGCTCTCACTTGAGTAACGTCACGGATACCATTACGATGCTTCGAATTTGCTCAAACCTTTTTTTTTCTAAATAGGTGAGTTTTATAAGACGCGGAAAGAATACTTATACTTAATTTATTTATCTAGCTCTAAGGGTGTGTCCCAACCCAAACGAACATGGAGAGGATTCTTTTTTGCTCTAGTCAAATCAATTACAATAAACTGCCAACCTTGCATATTTTTATCGATTATATCAATGACGTTACGCCATTTTTTATATAACGCCTAACTATATCAATCAATTCATCATATGTACCGGCCCCCATTAAAGAGTACAATATGATTTAAATTTTTTTTATTAATCTCGGACAGTGAAAAAAACTTTGAGTGGCGTCCTTCAGTAATAGTAGGGGACAATTTTCTCTTGTATCTTTTTAGGTTCACTACATAAATTTTCGAATATAACCACCGTCCCTTTTTCAGGAAAAAATTCGTTAATTTATCAGGCTTCATCGATTGAAACGTAACATTTTCGCGATATGGCCTTGGACCTATTTGCAACGGTTTGATAACAATTCTTCAAGTGGCGGTATTTTGGCTCCTTAAGATGATGTCCAATTAACACTAGATCGTCATTTTTTATATAGTAGATTCCGCTTTTTTTTTCGGTTAACATTCGATACATCTTATTTCCTAGTAAAAGGTTGACAATCGTATTTGTTTTTCCTGATTTAGTTCGTCCACTGACTAATAACCATTGGGGAGTCGAATTGAGAGTGTTAAATTTTTCTGTATTCTTACACTTGTCAATGTACATTTCGCACTGATCAAGCTTTTCAGTCTTTATATGAGTTTGAAGCTGAGCTTTGCTCATTCCGTTTAACATGAGTGTTAATAATAAATGTTATTATCTTTACCGGAAAAATTATTTGCGAAGCAAAGCCGCCTCAACACTTGAATGTGGGGAGGTCTGTAGCTTTTGCTCCGTAAATAAATAAATCTTTTTTTCTAATGTATGGCAGATGTAAAGTAAAAGATCGCAGGTATATGGAATTCAATAAGATCTATACCGTTTTGTTTGCACGATTTTTTGAGATTGTAAATCGGTCGACAATAATGATGTAGCCCATTAAATTCAAAAGCTAATTTTAGTTCTTCGTTGTAACCGTCTAAACGCAACCCCTTCTAAGAAGTTGGGTGCACATGACGGAAATTTTTGCCTAAAAAATATATTTACAACGATAATCAGTGTAATGCGGGAAATATTGGCGTATAATAAAGTTAGGTCTATTATAGCAAAGTTTGTTATGGCTGTAGAGCTCTCAACAACCTTGTCGTCTTTGTCAGCGTCAAGACCCAAGTGTCAACGTAATTACTCAGCGGAAGCAACTGCAAAAACAAATTATTGAAATGTATTGTAGCAGAAAAAATAAAACATTTTATTAACTATTGAAGAAATAGATGAGATAAGAGGCATATAACGAACATGGAGAATTTATTTAACGGGTATTACGTGGTTTTATGAAAATTCGTTTATAGAAATAGAAGTCCGCTTTAGCAAATTATTTGACAAAACAGAGCTCTCTGTTAAGGCAAACTTTATGCGTATACAAATTCAACGTTGATTGCTATTATAGTAAATTGCCATAACGACACAAAGCTGACGCTGTGGAAAATGGTAAATAACTCTAATACATTAGATGCCAAATAAATGTGTTTAACCAAATCGATCTCGGGTTTAACCGGCTGCCGATTGTATCAAATTTCATTAATTATAAAACTGCTTTAGCTGACCATTTACCTGGCTGAACCGGCCAAAAAAGAACAACACAAAATCAATCCGAAACGAGCAGCCGGTTTGAACAAGTTTCATTTTATTAACATTAAATTTGCTAAAATGACGTCACTTGCAGATTTATTAGTACACTCGTATTGTTTATATCTCCCGCCTCAAAGTGGGGATATAAGAATAATTAATTGATTAGGGGTCCGCATCATAGCATCGACAATCACTCGGTCGACATTTCGCCGACAAAACCATTTCACCGGCTAAATATTTCACCACCATTTAACCGACAGTCTGTTGAGTTCATTTTGCCTGTTCACCAATTGATAATTTATAATTGTTTACTCTTCACTTTCATCCATCTCCAACTTTACCTTACGATTTCATAATGACTAACGTTGTGGTGTTTCATCGGATTGAAACAGCTACCTTTTACGCAGATCTGTCCCTGACCAACCCGTCACAAGTAAATGACAGCACAAAATTGATTAGTTCGAATGAATCTCTTGAGAGTATATTGCAATTACTATCAATGATTCAATAGTCTTCGTTTCACATTCAAATAAGAAAAAAAAACCAGATTCTAAATGAGATTTGAAGAGCATGATAAATTGGAGATAGAGACAATGAGATTATGAAATAAAATGATTATCGATAAAGTGCCTGTCGGTTAATGACTGTCGGTCAAATGATTTTCGATGGAATGATTGTCGGGTAAATAATCCTGTTGGCGAAACGGTCTACGGCTGATTATCGATGCGATGTTATTATTATGATTGTATCTCCTGATGAGCAGGGACATGATTCATAATTTGATTAAACATACTTATGGAACACTTTTTTCCATATAAGACCAAAAATATTATGCACTTTATGAAATAGAATCTGCACGTATCCTGTAAATCTTAACGTGAGACCAGATCATCGCTTAAAAGATAATACACTCGATATTAAAGAATGTGCACATGGGCAGAGCGTATGCTGTGCTAGCATGCTGACCGTTTGTCGTGCGACAGATGATTGTATACAATTTTATTGGACCATGTGTATCAACGTGATACAGTGATTATACGGATTTTTTCTTTTTCCTTGTTTTTTTTTTTCATTAGCAGTCAATTGTAATACGTCATGTCTAACCAAACACAAGAAAAATATTAAAACACTTGTGAACAAAAGCTGTACGTCAGAATATCAAACGTAACATTGACAGAGTATAATACAGCTGAATAAAAGACGTCGATCTCAATAGCGCCTTGCTTGTGGCAATGATAATAGTAACTTATACGCAAAAGACCCCCATTAAACATAAACACCACGGACTATTTATTTGTAACAATGTAGTAAACTATGATGACGTCACGAGTGATACAAAGGAGCCGTTACTTCCAAATTATCATCCGCTTTAATAATAAGCTGTCTAGTTTAAAATTTGTAAAACGAAGAATATAGAATTTGGTCTGCTTTATTATTCGTATAAAGTCATGCTTTAATTTATTGCTGGACTAAGAAAAGAATTACTAAAACGTAGTTAAGACCGAGATCAAGCTGACCTCCAAAGGGCTAACCTGATATTCTCTTTACGATAGTTGGCACAAAAATGGCTGACCGCTTCTAATCCTTGTAACGCGGTACAACTATAAACTCGAACAGTAATTTTTACTAGTTAATTAATCCTGGCAAATATTGATTTAATTTGTTAAATTCAATAAATTTGACAAAAGTAAATGGTAAGTATATATGCAATTGTCTTACTATTGTGTACTATAACATATAGCATGGCTCGGTTCATAAATTCAAAGTTGTCAAAGCTAAATACTTTTATGTTCTATGACAATAATACTCAATACAGTTGCACCATCCATGAGCAACACTTTTCCTAGATGTCTGGTCCCAAGCTTGGTTCTTAAAGACGCTCCATATTTTCTACATGTGTAAGCAATTTTTGAGTTCCTGATATAATTATATAAACAAACGTTGGCCAATTAATCGTCATGATGTCAATCAACAAAGAATGACAACAGTGGCGTAAGTTTACTTGTCAATACCAGTAAAATAACTCGTTCTTACAAAACTTTATTACAAAATGCGAGTTTTATCACCTTATCCGAATTAAACAGAGATGACATAAACACCACATTAGTACAATAAATAATTATAATAGTTGTCGAGTTAGAGCGTTGACTCAAAATTGCTCAAAAGAACTACTCCTACCGAGTATCAAGAGCTGATTCTTTGTAATTATTGCATGTACTAATCAAAAAAGCACGACCAAAGTACGGGAAAACTTGGACTAAAATTAAAGTACTATTCTCGAATATTAACGAGAAAAACAAGTTATTGGAAACTGGTTAATTTAGGAAAACTAACACTGACACTTTTTGTAAAGGCGGTCTGACTTTTGAATATATTAGTATTAGTATATTAAGGTTGCTATTCTGTGTAACAGTTTCTGGTTTTCTATTTGCTGTTCTACAAGTCCATAAATACAAATGTCGTGCAATTATGCGGCGACTGTTAACATCAAAAATTTCTTTCTTGAATGTTTATGTAGTAATTACGTTATTTTCTTTTAATCGGTCACATATTGCATACTCTCTATCATTTTGTTAATTTAATGACGATAATTGTAATTCTAAGAATAAATACTAATACATATCAAACATACTTTCAAAACATAACTTTGCTTAGGGAGAAAGTCTGGTGTACAAATAATTACGCACTGTTTGATGACGTTACGGCCAAATTCTTCTAGAAATTCTTTTCTTTGCATTTATGGCATAATACGTTAATTTTTACTTAATACTGTAATCTACTTTCTGAACGCTTATCATATTTGTTAAAAAGACACCTGTCGGTAGTACGTTTGTTGTTGAACATTATTAATTTATTGTACGCAAAATTTTTGTGTACTCGCTGCACAATATTTCTCATCTGCTTAAAATACAAAATACACAAATGACAGAATATCCATAATCTTTTACAACAATAAGATTTTTAAAGTGCCAAACCATAGACTCGTGGTATTTTATACATAAAATAGGATAGGGTAACAATATTATTATTTTTGTAACGATTAATCGTTTCTATGCAAAAATTAATAACGAGACACAAGAAAAAGCATCAATTAAAGCCAAACAAAAATAAAAAATTAACAAATTTATTAAAACTGGCCAAAAATGACAAAGTTACTAGTAGAAAAATTGAATAAATTATTGCACTACAAATACAAACAAAACACGACAACCAACCAATTGTTCGCCTGCTTTACCTGTTAAAAATTTTTTTTGCTAACCCGACCAATTGATAAAACAACAAAAAAGTTTGTCAAAATGCTTATGTAAATATTAAACTAGCCAACCAAAAAAACCCGCGTAACTTATTTTCGGCTAGTGTTTAATTATGTAATATGTCAATTTAAACTTTTTATAATGTAAATATTTGCTCTTCAACAATTTTCTGTGTCATAAACTGTAGCAAGACAAGACAAGACATATAACAGCATTGGCAGTACAAATAGATTAAGAAGCAGATTAAGTGAGAAAACTATTCTTAGTAATGCGTGTATTACAAAAGCCCGTGTAGAGACATCAGAAAAACTAACCCAAGATAGAATAAAACGTGTCGTTACGATGGAATAACAATGTTCGGAGTTAGCTTATATTGTGAATACCACATGGTAATATGAACGTAAATCTGAAAAAAAAAACTATCAAAGATTTAAGTAGATTAGTCCCGAGAACGTTGCTGAACTAATTTGAACACAGTTGCGGCGATCTACCTAAAATTTACTATGGCGTGCTAAGTAAACTACGGTATGAACATGCAAACTTAATTTAAAGTTCTTCAACTAGTGACAGGTCAAGTAAGGCAAAGCACGTTGAAACAAATTCGCTTGATATAGAAGATAAGATAATAAATTAATTAAAGACGGGTTAATACGAAAGTAGAAAATCAGATACCTTGCGAGGATCACAATCATCTCGTCGACGTTACTGTAAAATTATATTGTAAACGTATATGCTATCAAAATAAAATATTTTGAATGGGCGAGAAACATAAGAAACCTATTGCGGCATTTCAAATTTTAGTGTTTAACTAACCAATCTAGTATATGATTGACATTTTGGGTCTAAAATAATTATCAAGTTCTATTAGGAGCCGTAACATTGTCCCAACCGCCAGAATATTAAAGTAAGAGAGAGAGGAAAAACTCGATTAACGTCGTAATTGTGATGATAAAAAGTGGGGTGAGACTGCAACTAAATCCCAGTATAGTAAAAATATGGTAACCGCCTGGTAAAATAGCAACCCCGGCAACCAACGTGCAGAAAATGTGGGCAGTATCACACTGCTGTGCGGAACAATATAATGTATCATATTTTGATCACAAGAGTAACAATTGCGAAACAAGCATTGAATCGATACAAACATCTGTACCCCGCTTTGTAAAAATTTTCTGTTGTGTGTAGACGGAACACAATCTATAGAGGGAAGCAGACAATAGTAACAAACAATATACTTCTCATTATCTAAGGGCGTATGTCGGAACCAATAACGCCACTGGGTAGGACCTGTTTGCTTGATAAGTGTCTTAATGATTGCGTTTATGATTGTGCGACGAATGTTGGAACGGCCATCGCTTAATAAACGGATATCATGCGGTTTGATCATGCGTCTGATAATTTAATCAGGTTGCGGCACATAAATGGAATATTAGCCTTTTTTTCAAAAATTAATCCGTGTTCATGGTAAAAGTAATAATAAAGTCCTCATGTAAAACATTCATATGCTGTCTCAAGATGCTTCTAACTCTGTGATTGCAACTAACATTTTCAAATGTGTCGGGATGGGGTTCTTTATTATCTTTTTTGTGCGCTTCGGAGACGTCCAAATTTGTATAGTCTCAAATAAACACCAATCATCGTCCATGTGCAACCAGGGTGAAATCTTGTGATTGAATAGACAGATTCACATGGATTTGCCGATAGTGATCTCGTCACGCGAAAACCTGTTTATTACAGAGCAAACCTTCGCCAATAACTAATCCGGAATTCCGAAACAAGACATCGCTATCTAATCTAAAGCCTGATCAATTATCCCCATATCAAGTCATTCCTTTAATACATGACAGAAATTTGTTGAACGATTGGATCTAACCAAATTAGCACTATTCTAAGCCAACTTTTCCGAAAATAACCAAATCCCACGAATCGGCTTTCTCTCACACATGTAATTTTATCGATCGAATCATTCTGGTGCCTCAATATTGCGTTAACTGCATTTTGTTGTACAGAAATAAAATAGGTTGTTATTCACTGGGCTAGTAAAACTTGGCTCTTCAAGCAACATAATATCACAAACCGTAGCATCCGCACGAGCCATCATTACAAATAATTTCAATTTGATTTGCAAAAAATTTTCTTTGTGGTTTTCTATATTTATGATCCAAACATTAATTGGTAGGTCTCGTTTTCACTTGTATGTGGTGTGGTTCTCACTCCTCGCAAAGGCAAAATGAAAACCTCTGTACGCACGGGTGGGTAAACCACCTGTCATCGGCAACGTTGCAACACCTTACCATTATCTAAAACATGCAAGGCTCGATAAAGTATGTTGCGATAAATCTAAAAATTTCACGTGTTGAAGTGTAGTAGGTGGACCTGGCGCGGGAATTTCAAAAGCGGTAAATTGTCCCGACCTCATGTACTACTCGCAAAGGTTCCTCAACCGAAAATCAGATGACACATCCAAGACTATTAAATATGTCGTGTTTACGGAACTACTGATTATTCACCAGACAAACAGGCTTCGAATTGTAGACCATAAGTTCGTTTTTGACGATCTTGATCCCGTAACGCTTAAATATCTCGTTCTTTTGCTGCTGTAAATAATTCTCCGTCAAAACTATTTCGAAACCTTCGTTCAGCAAATAACCATAGTAATCACGTAATCAAGCAATTACTACAGAAAATGACTGCAATTTCCCCTCGACAAACAGTAATGGAAGGCGCAACAGAAAATAATAAAATTGCGGCACAGCAAGAATTAGTGTTTATTCACGAGTCGTTCATTTCAAAATCCCCGGAACAACCGATTCAGCATATCGTTCCTGATTTTAACCCTGTAATCAAAGTGCCTTTTCCTCCAAATGTTAATCCTACTGATCTGATACGGACGGATAAAAATGGGGAACTTCTTACAAGATGTACAAACAAGTTTTTGATCTATCGTAATGAATATGCCAAAGAATTAAAAGCACTTGGCTATAAACTGTCAATGAGAAAAGTATCGAGCATCGCAGCAAACAGGTATTGCATCATTTACGTATAATCAAAAACAAATAGATGTGTTTTTTAATTATTTTATTTCTTTTTATTCGTTCACCCTATTTACGCTTCTTTGTTGTATTATCAAAATAGTTGGAAAGAAGAACCAGAATACGTAGTTCGTTATTATGAAGAAATTGCACGCGAGGTTGAGAAAATTCATCTACAGCTCTCAATGTCTAGCTCAACCAATTCCGACTGGCAACGAAACCATACGAAAAAGAATGTACGTTACAACCCATTGCACGCCACATCTCGTGTGAATCATACTGCTTCCTCATCATCGATAAAACCCACAGCAACAACAGCAACGGCATCAACAGCCACAACACCAACCACACTCGCACACAACACAGCTTCATGCAATTCTTCCAATACGGTAACACCGTCGCATTCGCCTATTTCCACTCCTTTAGCGCAAACATCGAATATAGTACCGTCGATGCAAAATCAGCTTGGGCTTTCGGTCGGTGGACCACCATGTATTATGATGACAGCAGACAATTCAGCGAGGTTGATGACGACGACAATGTATGATCCGTCAGTTATGGCTATTCCGCACACTTATGCTCTTGACCCATATGCTGCTCAAGGGGCACAGTTATCTGAGTCATCAGTTAATCAGGGTTTTACTTTCCCGTTCGGGGTATTGATTGACTTTGGGATGACGCAAGGCTGTGGATGGAGTGAGATTCCTTATAATTACTAATTTTTTAATTACAAATTTATCTAGTATTTTAGTTTTCGTATTGTTTTCTTAGTAACTTATTTCCTCTCCCCCCCCTTTTGATTTATCAAGACGAACTACACCGACTATTATCTTGTGTAATATATGCGATAGATTGTGGAACGTCCTAACTATAGAGATATGACAGACACCATCTATGATTTTTTTTTTCTTTAAGCTCAAACAGAAATTATTAAAGGCAAAAAAGGACAAAAATTAAACTAATGGCAATCTATGTAATCAGACGTTCTTATGAATGTAAACCTTTCCATTTGGTAATATAAGATTTGGGTGCTGATACTCCAATAAGTTTTGAGAAATAAGTGAATACCATTTGTTTGTTTGTTTGTTTGTTCGAATATAGTGAATAATGTTTCTTTTGTTGATCTTGTAAAAACGAAGTTATTTCTGATCGCGACCATCAAGATGTTTTCCTTTGTGTTCATTTGATACAGTCATGAGATCATAATTGGTGATGCATTACGAAAATGGGGAAAATGCAAAAAAATTCCATAATCGTTTTACGTCGGTTCTGAAACATTTAATTCTGACAGCTAAAATGATATCAATTTAGTTGTATTTGATTTAGCGTATTGTTCGAATCGTCTAGTATAATGACCGGGTGTCACAGTCAGTAATTGGTGTAACCTGTTCTCCTTGTCTGAAATAAGGGAACGTATTATAAGCGTTAAGATTCCCTCTGGAAACGTACAAGTCTATAGCTATACATAGCAAATGAAACAATTAAGTAGCAAGTCCGAAATCTCCAGCAATGGATAAGTGTATGCACTAAAGATTAAATGAATGGAATTGCTTACCTGTACGCTTTTTATAGTAATAGAAAATCTTGCGGTCAGCGGATATTATTGGAGAATAAGGTACAAAAATGATGTCAAGTTACATATTGTCTATGTAACAGTCATGTATGACGGACACAATAGATTTTCAAAATGAGTTGGTGGTGGCCAAGTCAAATGGGGGGAACAGCCCCCAACTTTATCATTATCCATTACCATCAGGAAATCTGCGCCCAATCCACATGAGTATTGTGTTACACAGATCACGGAGTACAAAACCAATTCATTTTTGCTGTTCGGAGTTGTGATACGGCATGACAGTGACAGTGACAGTAGCGTGACTGTTTACGTTGGTTATTGATATACAAACACGTAGGCAAGATAATGGGAAAACCCCTTTGATATCTCCGACATATTTATCACCATTGTCACATAACTGTTCCAAATTTGGAATAGACGTTCTATCTAATCGTTCTACAGCAGTAACTGTTAACGTTGGCACATTCGATTGCATATTAGATTGATCGTGATTCGTTCATATACTTGTTTCGAACTCGAACATCAATATCTTTGGCTCTTTTTTTTCTTCTCTTTTTTTACTACTGACAAACGTATAATCGGAAGTATAGCAAGAACAATGAAATTTTGTCAACATATATCAACGTATGTTACACGACCATGAACCCGACCCATTTTCTTATAATCAAACCGTGTATATATTAATATTGTCGAATTTGTAAGCATAAAGAACAAGGAAATACAGCAGCTCGGGTATAAGTCAAATTAAGGGTTACGCGTATGATGGAACAAACCAGTACCATTTTCTCTAATCAAGTACATAAAACGTCGAGACATAATTGCGCTCCTTATTTTATTGTGCAAGACAAACTTTATACAAAATATACATAATAAGAAATTTTTTTGGGGGGGGGTTTTCAATGTTGGAGATTTAATTAATACTTTTAAAGCAAAATTCACAAATAGATATTGTTGATTATTATTTTTACAATGACCGTGTTTCTATGTAGAATTAATGTACTACTAAACAAACATACCTCAAGAATCGTTTAGTAACCATTCAAAAAACTAATGCGACAAAACAAATAAGCAGGAACAAGCTGGGTTTTTATTCTTTATTTATTTATGGGTAGTAGTAATACTATATATAGCATAGTTAGTTAGGCCAAAGCGCGATCTTACAGAACATCTTATCATAAACAATGTCTCATAAAATTTAACCGGAATAAGTCCGAATAGACGCTTATAATCTAAATATTGTTGATTTTGTGCATTTATATAACAATATTAATATAAACATAGAAATATGTATTCATGTAGAGATGTGATATTGTGTATGTATATATTTTAACATAATATAAAAAAATGACAAGCGAGACGCCAAGTCTGATGGTTCATATAGCTATTATACTCTTTTTATCTCCGTTCTGCTTGATAAATGACACCATTATTGCTATAATCATTTGCACGAAAATCTTCTCCTAACGAGAGGAAATACATATTATCGTCATAACTCAGAAAGTATTCGTTAGGAACCACATACGGCCATGCAAACCATGGATAATGACCAGGTTGCGTATTGTGAGCATCGGTATTAACGATAATTTCATTTGAATAAACGGTAGAATAATCATTTTCAGCAATAACATATCCCGGTGGAGCCGTAATTGTGTCAATGGTGCCATTACTCGCGCGGCTCATTGAAGAATCAATAACATTTTCTTGCAACGAGTTACCGCTGGTCTTGTTGCAGGAGGTTGTCGATTGTTCTTCCGCAGACGACGTTTCTTCACATCGCAGCATTTTGAGATAAACATCTTCAAGCTTATTTGCAAACTGATTAAATTCCATTTTAACCTCTATACGTTCTTTAGCCCAAGCGGCAGATGCCCATCGCGATACATCGATCATTTTGGACCTACATCCTCGTTCGGCTAGTGCTTTGAAATAGAGCTTTCGGTAAATCATAAATGCGTTTGATGTTCTCGACCGGCCCCTTTTTTTGGGGAGAAACGATTCGACTGGAAGATCTGACGGTGACGGGAGTTTGATATTCTGCACTGGCGGAAAGGATTGAGTACAGGAGGATTTCGGCGTCCGTTCATCGATGGGAAATATAGTGGAAAACGACATTGTCTGCACAATTTTCTTACTCAAATTTTTGGGTGCTTAAATACGAATTAACTGTTGCACATCTTTTGTCAACGTTGGGTAACGTTACGAGCCTGGCAACGCTTACCGGTTGCTTGACTTGGATAACAATACAAAAAAAACAAAAGTAATGGAAAATAATAAAAAATTGAGCCGAGATTTCGTTAGTAATGAAAGCTTCTATATTAGTCATCCACTAGATAACAGAAGTTTGGTTACTTTAACTGGGTAAAAAATGTATGTTTTTTGCAAATTTACGATATCTTGTTACAAATAGAGTTTGTGTAATTCGTACAAAAAAAAAAGGAGTAAATGTCCATTGAGTCTTGGGACATGTTAATGACATGGTTTCATTTGCCATTTGTCGAAACACGGTACGGCAGCAAAGCGGAGACTATCGTAACATTAGTTGCCTGCAATTGCAATTATTGCGCTGCTGCTGATGACAACTCTCATCGTCATTTTACTGCGACCGTAGTATTCAAAGCAGCTTTATCCCGTAGACTTTTGGCTATGCCTTAATTTGGTTGATATGCCATTATGTTTCATGACGCGTTGCGACTGTTGCAGGTACCCGGAGGGAATAAAATCGCTTGACGGAAGTTGATCATACACAGTGCGCAGAGAATGACGCCGTATTCAAATTTGGTCTGGCGTTGTGTAACCTTCTGCGGTCAATAAGAATTAACCAATACAACAAACTCTAATTGACCAATAACACGAATCTAATTAAAGTCTTGAAATCTTAACTTAGTGTGCTTTATAACTGCGGACGCTGAAGAAGTTTCTGGAGAAGCAAATTGACTTTTTGTAAGCGTTTGGGGTTGAGAACAAAGACATTCTTATTTAGTGTTGTAATTCTTCGTCCCAAGATAAGTTTTGTTACTGGTTTTCCTGTTTTGCGAAACTGCAGATACAATTGTATATCGTTTTTTAGAATTTAATATCAAAAATAAAGTGTGAACTTGTACATGAATTTTTATGATAGATAGTCAAGATATCTGGCAGCACTCTTATTCTTTCGCTTAATTCGCAAAATCTTTGGGTATTCCCTGTATTGTAGTACAAACATGCTCCTGGCCAATCAAAAACGAACATATAAAACAGTCACCCGTCGGGACTAGAAAAGCAACCTTTGTCTGCTGACAAGAACAATAATAGAAAATAACACCCATTTTAATGCAAACCCCTAATTTAAATCGAAACAACAACAGGTGTTTTGTTCTGATTTGATCAATCCGGCCTACAGTCTGTTATCTCGATTGAATTGTACCCATTGTTGTTACTATTGTAAAATATACGCATGCAGTCATTTTATTAATTGTTGATACGAATAGGTGCATACACCCTAAACGATAGCTTTATATTATGATTATTGAGATCAGCATGATAGTTTGCAGTTACATATTATAAAGTGTTTCGCATAGTAATAGTTGAATTTTTTGTTCTATCGATTTCTAACAATTAATAATCTGTCCATCCATAAAAAAACCTGTTTATATCATTGAGAACATCGCACAGCGCATAGGCTGTAGTAAACAAGCGCGTTTATTCGTTAGAGATACGTGAATGCAATATACTTAATTGTTTAGTCATCTTTGTTCTTGATAATTTGCATTTTATGATAAACAGCAAATTCGGAGTTGCTTGGCATAAACTTTGTTACATATATTATAACTATTATAACCAAGTAGAAAATATTAAGGAGATAACTATTGTCTTGCAAAGATGTTATTTTATGTATACGAACTTTGATTGTTTATTCGTTCCGACAATCGATTTTACAAATACAGCGAATGGCGATACGCAATAAAAATACTACATATGAAGAGGCGTGCTTTTTTGGAGCAAGCACGCAACACAACCGATTTGCAACTAACTAGTGCATATCTGTTTGCTTTGAACGTGAGTAGCTATTGGTTTAGAAAAGCAACAATGAATATAATTATGCAGATATCAATTTGTTCCTTGGCCCCCAAGAATCTTCATTCTTTATTAGTGACACCTGGACATGAGCTGGGAAACAAATATTAGTGACCGTTTTATTTTACCAGTAGTAGGGATGATAGTGGTGGTGAGTGGCAGCGGTGAGTGGTGGTGGGGTGGTGTGGCGAGTTGTGAGTTGTGAGGTTGATGGTGGTGGTAGTGAGTTGTGAGTTGTGAGTGGTGAGCAAGCGGTGCTGGTAGTATCTGCAAAGCTATAATAATCTACCAGGACATTTGCAACTACGCATAGTCAGAAAATAAACTTTTTTTATTTATTACTTTACTATACCGTTGACCCAGGTCTCTTATATTAAGAAACACATTAATTAAGTAAAAGTTAGAATCTTTACCTCAACTTGGTCTCGGGCAAAGCATATGATCTCCTTCTAATCGCGTATATTATGAACGTTTCATAAAATCTTAACTGACATATACCAAAAACTCTTTATTTTGTAGGAATTCGTATCTTGATAACAACACTTACATAAGCGAAAGCAGTAATAAATAATATACGTATATAATATCTACGTAAGTATTGAACAATTTTTTTTACACATAACGTAAAGTACCCGAAGTGTTTATTATTGATATCTATCGGTGATGACCATACTGAATAATGTTAATATCAGATTATGTAGTTTTTCTACAAACAAAAGTTAATTCAACTTACTCTTCTTTTAATTTAAATACACCTATTCACATATCGACATTTGTTTCTACGTTAACTGTACAATGATTTTTTCGATAGGTTGTATAATAAATCTTTTGTTTAATTATATGACTTTACACTGATTGCAGGCCAGGAATCTAGATTATCGGATAATATGCAAAAATATCTCGGCTGTTATTCTGCTAATGTAAAGAACAAACAATATGCGTTCGGAAGAGATGTCAACATCACGTCTGTATGTTGCAAATTATTTATTTTTCACCAACACAATGCTATCAAGAAGGCTCCATTAACAATACTACAGTTTGATGATCCCGCAATTGACGTAAAGTATTTATTATTTAAATTGCAAGTAGGTGAATATTACTATGAAAGTATTAAATTGAACTTAATTGATTCTAATTTTCATGGTTATTTTTTAATCATACAGTACCAAAGGTAGGCAAGACTGAATGCGATGTATTGCAGTTTTTCACAATATAACTAAAAGTTTACTTTTAACCTCGCTGGATTCCAATAGATTACACGCCATCAGTTATCAGACATTCAACATCTTTACGCTCATTTTGGTTCCCATTTTGAGCATGTAGTTACACAATACCGAATTGACGACATCAATACGCTATAATTCGTCACACGAACCAGATGCGCATTCATTATATACTTGGTAAATTCCTGTGTTTGTAAACAAGTAGCGGTAAATGATCAGAGTCATTGACCACGTGAACGATTCGTCCAATTATTTTTGCGAACAATTTTTACCCGATTATTTGTATGCCATATCAGAAAATGTAAGAAAAGTATGATTGCGCTGACTATTTCATCCAGATATTAACCACCACGACAGAAAGTAAATACATCACATCCGAATATGGGAAGCCAGCGAACTGTTCGATCTCACGGAAAAGAACTCCGACATATCTCAACATGATAATGTACGTACGCATGGTCAAATTATCACATGAAAATGCATCCATCGTGGTCGACAATTGATATCATTCTGGACACCCGTTTATAAGTAGACAAACGGCGGAGTGATTGAGGTTGTTTATCATATTTAGCAATGGGTAAATGTTAATCGCAAAAAATTTTTTAAATCTTATGGCGTTTGTCGTAACCGAAATAGGCAACCTGATGTGTAAACTAAGACTTTATAGGAAGTTATTATTAGATTTCTGATTGTTCGTTATACCAGATCTGGTCGGCATTTTCATTGCCTATTTCAGTGGGTAAGATCGTTGGGGAAGGAAAACGTGCGGGCTGAAAAGACGGCAAAGCCCGCAATGCATTGAAGATGGTTGTGACTACGGTACAAGATAAAACCACGTTGAATGCAATAATGCGCAGAAGATTCCGAGAATTCAAAATATAAACGGGCTTTTATTACCATAATAGTATTAATACGACAGTGACAATGTAATAATTACTAATTCATACTAAAAAAAAAAAGTTATTATTTCGGAGTATATTAATTTATAGCAAAGGATTATCGGAATAGATAATCGCCTGGCCGTCAACGACCAACAAAATCTGTGGGAAAAATTATTTATGCTTTCACTATCGGCAGAGTGCACGCACGTTTGTTAACACTATAACAGAAAGGTAAAGACATCTAAGGCTACAAATTGTTATATGGATATACATTTTCAGTTGTAATGTCGACTGAAAAATGCTGTTTTTGTAACTATAATGCTACTTTATCCGCTTCAAGGAACTAAAATGAGTGATATCTTAATTTTTTTGTTTTACTTTTTTTGAGTCATCTGCATGAGCCTGTGTTACAACATAATTCGGATATTAGTTTACTCGCACAATACAGATGTAACGTTACGGTAACACAATCAGTTATTATCAGTCTGCGGTTCGGCTCAACGAAGGTTCAACCGCTCACTAATTCGGGCTTCTTGGAACATACCTGTATAGCAGGCAGAAAGCAAGCATGTCTCTGGTTTGCACCAATAAACGCTTAATTCTCTCTCAAGAGCCGAATTACGCCTCCCCAGCCCTTGCTTTAGTCTGGTAATCCCGTTACTATTACCACCCCCCGCATGAAAACAGCGCCCGCTCGTATTCATAGCCACACCAGACCCAAGGACAATTTGTATAAAGGCTACCCAAACTTTCCTCATCACTCAGAGTTGAATTACGAGAGCTGGACAGGAATGCAAATCCCATGTCGTAGTGCGTCACCATCTCACTCGGCCTTTGTGTGTCGGTGTTCCGTTGATATGACTGGCATGTTATTGTCATAGTTGATGTCAAAAACGTTATTTGGAGAGATAGCATTGGATGTCGAAATAGATTGGAAAAAGGATGGGGCTTGAAAAGATGGGATTTATCTTGAGAATTTTGATATAAAATTATCCGCATATAGAAGATGAAAAGCAGTGTCGTTAGCTACGCAGAACAGAAATCATTCCGGAAAATTTAGAAGAATGTTGCCATCAAATCAGAGACTAGCGATGCTGATGATGTCCTATTGCACAACTATATGACCATTAGTATGTAAAGCGAAAAAGCGTAACAAAGAAGTTATTTGAGAAAATACACCGTTTATGTGAACTCGTGCTGGTAAAACTGCTTATTTCATGAGAATGGAAAGGAGAACAGGGAGCGAATGGGGAGCAAATAGGGGAGCTCTAACGGCTTTAGTCAATATTGTAAATTCCTTTTTCTTTTTTGTAATTGGAAAATATGCATTCGAAGCAATGACTGTGTTAGCTGTACGACCCCTTTTACAACTCAATCAAACGTTGATTGTTAAAAACCGAACAACCGAGCGCTTGAAAATGGTAAAGTTACAAGATCAACATAGTCTTTTTTTTTTTTTGCAAGAACTCGAAGGATGAAAATAAGGGAAATCGCTTCTTGAGACGTCTTCCTGGATCGTACGCAATATCATAGTTATGCTCTCGCGCTGAATAATATACAGTGAGTCAAGTGATCTAGAACATTCGGGGTCTTCTTTGCCGCTAAAAGGTTTATTAATGATGTAAAAATTTTAACACGGATACAGGGCAAAAAAAAAATGCCGATAGGAGTAATTACATTAATAATGAATATGTAATTAACTTGCTTCTACCCTTTGTTATTCCTGATTTGTTTGGTAAGATAATCAACGTACTTTTATGGTTGTTAATGAACGTCATTGTGTATTCGACACGCGTTCTGTTATCTACTATTGATTGCATAATATGGTTTGCCGAAAATATACCGTGTGTTCATAGTTTGATCCTTAAAATTAGTAAAGCTGCGTAAGATTTGAATGAGAAATGGCAACTCATTCTCGCGCAGCTTGGTGACGAAGACATGATGACGAAAATGGTGACGAAGAGGTGACGAACAACACTGTAGAGCCTGTTATTTAGAAACCCTAGTTTGAACTTTTGTGAAATAATATGCAATGTCCAACATTGTTTTATAATCAAACTCGCTTACGACGAGAACCAATTAGACAACGATTCTGGTAAAGGTATAAGATCGCCAGGTGAGGGTATTACTGTAACACTTTTTAACCTAAAGGAGTTAGTGCTTTTTTCAGCCGCTTCCCCGGGAGTATAGCGTTTCAAACAAATAATATCAATGTCGCAATCAGATACTCGATTAAAGAATTAAAGAATTTATAATAGCATTGAGTGTTGATCAATACGCCGAAATGCGTTGTATTTTGCCAAGGCAAATTCTATCAGAAAATAAACACGACCCAAAATTTGAAAACGTATTAATTTTGCATAATACTTATTTATTATAATTACATACGTCTATTATCATAGTTGACAATTACACCCCCCCCCCCAAAGTGAGTTTTCCAAAGTAAATTATCCTATACAATCTTAAATTATCATTAAATACAACTGTGAGGAAGTTATTTAACAACTTTTTTGATTAAATTGGAATTGACTTGGTGGTGCAACTATCGACCCTCCACTTGCGTTCATGCCCCCGCTGTTCACGTAGCTCGATGATAAAGAAGCGCAATTATTTTGCGACAGGGAAATATAATCTGCCGAGCCAATTTCTTCACTAAGCACAGCAGCATTTGTTCGTAGATCTTCAGAATAAGAAGCAACGTCTCCATTCGTTGAGCTCACGGTATTAAGTCCAAAAATTGGGAATAACGTATCATAATTTATTGGATATGTTTCTGCTCCTATAGGGTAATGCTGAAAATTTTCCGTCGTTGATGTTGGCATACAGTATGGGGAAGCAAGTCCGGTATAACCTGGAACGAAAAGGCGGTGCTGTATTGTCGAAGGATAGGGAGCAGCATTGTATCTAATAGGCAAAACAAATCGTTTTGGAATGGATTCCGATTTCTCTCGATACATTTTGTCTACCTTCCTGGCAAACTGACGATACGCATTTTTAATATCTTCGTCTTCTTTTTTCCATTGAGCACTGACCCAACGCGACACCTCAACCATTTTGAAACGAAGTTGTCTTGCGATCAACTCGTTGACAAATACTTTTCGATATATCATGAATGCATTACATGACTTACTGCCGGCAATTTTCTTTGGTAAATAATCTTTGGGATTGAGGTTTGATGGTAGCGGGACCGTTATTTTAGGCGGAAAAGGTAGACTTGGAGGTGATCGTGAGTTATGATCAAAAGGGCTCTGAACGAGAGCGGCTCCAACTGTGGACTGTGTTGACATGTTAGAGTTTCTTGAAACTGAGAATGTTTGACGGTAAAGACGTTTTGCGACAAAAGATATTTCTCAGTATAAATATTATGTTTTGTCGTATTGAGGGTGAGCTGAGTTCACAATACGAGCAGAATAATATTAGCTTTACGATTTCACACCAGATCTATTCTTTTATATACACATCCTGCGGAATAACAATGGCGTGCATACAGTGAAAGTTAATTTTTGTCACGTGCATTTACTGTTACACAGTGTCACTGTTCGAGTGAGTGGATTTGTTCAAACAAACATAAATATAGATTTTCTACCCTGTTTTTTGAGCATTACTAAACATGGCCCAACAAAATCGTTTTATGTTAGGACACAAGTTTTCCAATATTAGGAAATGACTAATTCAATATGACATTATGGTGTAAAGTAAATAATATAATGTTTACTAAGAAAAATAAGGTGCGGTGCACATTTTACTTGTTTAAGGTCACACAATTTTATTTCGTAAAGAATAAAGTAAGGTTTGCATAAACGCAAGCTTTTTTGATGTACATGACAAACCGTTCTAGAAGGCCGACTTTGTCAAACGGAGCTTAATATCCGACTTTGCGATTCAATGGTTTTTAACCGAATTAATGTTAGTGTATTCCATTCAAACCTTTAGATGATGCCTTCATGCCTATAATTAGATAATATTACTCTTGCCGGTCTTGCGGATAAATTGCCAAGCAATCATTGTTTCAATATAACCAAATATGAAACTGTCAATGCACTGCTAATATCCGAAACAGGACGTAAAAAACGGAGTTGTGAGAGGATGATAGAAAACATAACATGATTGATTCGAATGATGGACCAGAGAAAATCGAACATCGATAAATATGTGTAGGGATTACCAATTATGTCGATTGAGTATAATAGCAGTAAAGGCCGATAGCTAATAGTTTGATCGTCATAAACTTAAAGAGCTTGTTGTCTTTATTCGGTATCAATCTGATACAAAGAAATCCCTCGGTAATGGATTTATATAGAAAAGTGGTAACTTGCATCTCGTCACACAAAAAACACGTTTTGCGCATGCATCAATATGGGACAGCTGTCGTTATCACATGACATAGTGCAACGAGACAAATCGAAAAAGGTAAACCGATCTTAAAGAATATTAATATGGGGAGAGCTATTCCGAAACGACCATGCAGATTACTAACCTTATGTAACGACTAGTTGAGCGAGAGGAAAGAGATGACTGGGGGTTGGACATGGGTTTACAAAATCAGTGACAAGCGACAAGTGACAAGCGACAAGTGACAGGCGATAAAGGTTGATATGTATTAATTAATGAGCTAAATTTGCAAATCCCCGGAGAATATAATTTGTTTTGGTTTTCCGACGAGTCTATTTCAACATAGAGTTCTCTGTTTAATATTATTGAAGAATAAAATCCGGAACCCGTGGCCGACAAGAGCGGACTGTTAACTTTATGTGGCTATATTAGATACAAGTTTTTGAATAAATCAACAGTTATAAATTTCATTATAATGTAAATTAGAAATAAAGACATGATTAACCCCCGAGCAGTCAAATTTGACATAGCAATGATGTCATTGTACGGTTGCTCTCGTAATCATAAATGCATTAAACATTCACAAGGAAAATTGAACATAATAAATAAGAATAACCAACACTTTCGGTACGCTAAATTTTATCAAATTTATTTTTGTTCTAATTATCAAGAATTTGCACCTCTGATAATCTGAATCTGCCAACCTATGAATAGTCGTGCTAGCTTTACGCGACGTCATTTGTAATGTCTTTGTTTCCAGATAAGAAAAAAAGTTTCCTTGTTTTAAGACTTACGAAATGTGACTATTTTACACTCGTAACTAGCAAGTAGCAATGCTACCATGTTATTAATACTTAAGAACATTTGGATCGACCAATCCATGCGATGCTCCATGTAAGCGATCAAACTTTAATTAAATTTCGTTCTCCAAGACTGTGCATAATAGATAATATTTTACATTCGAGCCAACAGATTTTGCTTCCGAACCCGTATGGATCATTCCGAAAATCCTTAGCTTTGTTCTAAAATTCCAAATTATTCAAAATGTTCTCCGTCCGCATAAAATTTTATCTTCTTGTGATTAGTCAATATATAGGTCTCCGTTTTAAATTTTGAACGTGATAACCTTCCAAGGTTAAAGGCAACTATTATCAAAGCTGTCTGATTTTTATATCGTCTCGGTCGACAATATTATACCAGAGTGTTCGTATATAGCTGGTAAATAAATGACATTTTACGTCAAAGACTTGACGCTACATATCTTAGGAAAGTCTATTACGGCGGACATTTATTAATAGTCTGCTGAAAGAGTCAAAAAATAAAATATCCCATTCCTCTTCTACCCCAACAAATCTTCGCTGAGAAATATATCAAACCATATCGGTATAATGCCATCAACTCACTCTAAAAAAGAATGCACAAAGCTTCTCAGTAAGTTTATTCGACAGCGATAGTAAAGGAGTAGAAAGAGTACGAGTGCCGAATGCGTCTACGATGAGACTGAAATATGTTCGTGAAAACCAACGTTCACTCACTTGTTTTGCGCACTTAACGGCATGAGAAGCGTTCGTTAAATAGTAAAGATCGCTGAGATAACTACTTTAACTGATTATATAATGACAGTGTCGGCCAATAATATATATAGAAGTGCAAGCGAGCAGGGAACGGGGAAAAAACTATATAGACAAGGATCTTTTTGCATTCATTTTTTCCTTTGCTCAACACAAAAACGCGTAATTCAGAAAGCGATGTCAACACCAGCCTTTCCTTCATTAAGTTCATATTCTACCATTTCAAAGCCGCAGTCCATATCTTCTCACCATAATTTTGCTGGTCAGAAATATGTCATCTTGGATGAGGCATCCATACTCAAATCGTTAGAAAAGTCAACTCAATGTGTTGTGCCATCGTCACCACCCGATATAACAATTCCTTCACCGCAGACGCTTTGCGCAGAAAATTTCTTACCTAAGAAGTTGATTGGATGCAAAACGCCCAACGCATTCATTATATATCGGACTGTATACGTTCAGCAACTAACTGAGAACGAGCATCGATACAAAATGATCGACGTCAGTAGATGGGTCTCTGAATCATGGAAGAATGAGACCAAAGAGGTTAAAGCGGCATTTAAGCTACTTGCTAGGGATGTTCGTAGATTATATCATAATCGTATTCGCTCTTCGTTATCAGCTCCCCAACGGACTATCACTCCGGTCACAAGTCATATGCCCCATGATACATCATCGGGCCCCTTGGCATCGTCAACAGAAATTACGAATTCTGCTCATTCTGTTCGACATGTGATGTACTCTCCACCAAGCGCACGTGTTCAGCATGCTTTGAATGCCCAATATCCGTCTTCTAGGGTTACAAACCATCCACCATTCGATGTTGTACAGTTCTTGTCCAACCAAAATCTCTTGAGCAATTCGTTTGCTCTTCCTCCGCATGAAAGGATTAGCTATGGATGGACGAAATTGGGTAGTACAAGAAGGGAGAGAAGAACTACTCACACATTTCCTGATGCGGTCTTGAGCGATTTTGAGTTTGTCGATAAAAGTGATGTCCCATGGGGAAGACGTGGATAATCCGAGATAAACTTAAAATATATGTATTACGTAAGATTTATATGCTACCCCCTGCAACAATATAGGAATTTCCAAAAAAAAGTAAGAATGCGAATTTTTTTTAAGCGAAAAATCTCACAGAAGTAAAGATTCTTTATTCGATGTTACACTGATGTACGGATATTAACATATATGTCACAATATGGAACCAGTTATGAATAAAACAATCATATGGCGAATAACTGTATTTAGTAAATGTATTAAATTACTGTAAGAAATATTCGTACATGCTGTCGATGTTGCAAAGATCGCCATTGTTATTATTTCAAGACAGAATAGAATAAAAATATAGATTGTGGGTTATGTATCGACAAATATTTGTAGACATTACATGAGAAAACAATTTTCTATGTTAAATACTTGTGAAAAAAAATTTTAAGCAACGATTTCGGAGAAATTATTAAATAAAACGATTGACAGTTGACGCGATTTATTTGTCAACGATTTGAGTAGGCAGCCATTAATTTGGTTAAATTTTCTTTTGCCCCCTTACAATACTTTAAAAACAAATACACAATTCTTCGGGTCTCAACGTTTTAGATTGTTGCACTATGGAACGCATATTCTGTAAGAGGTCCGGGTTTCCCGATTGTAAGTCTACACATTAGTTTTTGGCCATATTGAGTTAGTATCGTGGTCAACAACTACATTTTATATAATTTGAATTCATTTTCCCCCTCATCTTTATTTTAGAAAGGTTTCAAATAAAGTTGCTCCACAATCATAAATGAAATCAATTAATGGTATCAGATATCGAAATAAATGATGTCATAAATCTTGGCTTGACATTAAGATCATTACCATAATCAAATTAAACAAATCGCGCAATATGTTGCATTTATCTCAATTTGTAGATTGACATGCTCGATGGATAAATTGAGGTAACCCGCAAGTTTTAGGTTTTCTTCCCATAACGATAAAGGCTGTAACATTCGAACCAATCGCACGGCTTGCACTTATCTAATTGATGTGCGAAATGGTTGTCGGCATCTTGATGATTTTGAAAATTATTATCAATGCACGGTATTATCCAATAACCGTAACATCATATACTCACGCCACATAAATTCATTATTGAGACATTATATGACGTTGCTGTTGGTCAGTTTCTTGGGTAATGTAACGCGCACTGCACTTGTTTAAAAAGATAACAAGTCGACATACTATAATTAATAAAAGCCGTACACAGATGTATCAATATGCATTATGTTCATTATGTTATGTATGTGTAATACATAACCATTGCACTGCTCCACCGAATAAACAACTATTAACTTTGTTTATGTAAAATAGTAGTACAAGCAACAAATGTCTAAAATGTACACTGCCGGAACTTTTTTTTTTTGAGAAAACCTTACAGGTAATTTTCTCCCTCTCCGTTTTCAAATTTTATAGAGCAGCATTCAGTTATTGCGATAAATAAATACATGTATCTCTCAATAGTAAAATTAATCAGTTCGGATATTGCAGAAAAGACTAGTCGCTTTGCATTATTAAAATAAACAAGCTTTTAGCTAATTTATTGAACAAGTGTAATTATGTAAACAAATAGAAGCTAAATTTACTGAACACACTATAAGAAGCAGTAAGCTATAAAGAGTCGTTTATTTTCACAAATTTGTCAAACTGAAAAACAGAACTTAACTTATAGACTCAAAAATTATTGGTACTTACGAATATACGTATATATAGTAGATTCGAAGCATGTTTTTTGGAAGTCTAACTTACATTTAAAGGTATAATTAATTTTTCAACGCACACGGTCATGTCTTTAAGTTAATAGTTAATTAGTTAAGGCGTGCAACAAAAACAGGCAAGCGACAGTTATAGCATAGTATATTTTCAAAAGCTGTTAATTATTAAACGTCATCTAATATTATTTTGTGTTTTATCAAGATTAATTTGTTAAAAAATAAAATATAATAAAAATTAAACAATTCTATATCTTTTGCCTCAGGAGTCTGCTATGAGTTTTAGTCTTGATACATAAGCTTCGAAAAAAGTGTTAGATTAAGTATTCAAAAAAGTTACTTGTAACCATGAGTTTTTACCAGAATTTATTATCGCTTTAAAAATATAATTGATAATGTAAATTTAGTTTTCATTACTTCTTCATTGTTACTACCAGTAATAGTATAATTACCGCTGTCATTAAGATATTATTTTATTTGCGCTATTTTATTGTTTACATTTCCGTCAATCTAACATGAAACTGCATTAATTGCTTTGGAAGTAGAAGCAGTAACGGCCATTTGCATAATAACGTATGAGTTTTTAACAAGCGTTCTGACTTTATTCTGTCATAAGCAAAGCACAAATACAGTGAACTCTTCCTAAACACATGCCTTGGGACTGAAAGTGCGAGAGTGTGCATTTACAGAATAATGCATTTAGAAAGTATTATATTAAATTTACATGATCTTGAAAATAATTCCCCATTGGTTGAATTATTGATTTAAACATATACAACGTTTAGGATTTAATGTATGCGAGTATCAAATTCGATCAGCCGACAGCCCAATTTGGAAAATTTCCCTGATATAATGTACACAGTATTGCAAACCTGGTCACCTATTCAGACGAAATCACTCGATAATCGGGCGACAAATGAATTCTTGTTAAGCTTAATTCGGACAGCAGATACTAGTAAATAACGCAAGTTTTTTCAGTTTTATCGTGTCTAGCTTATATTCCGTAATGTTATTGGTCTGAACAATTTGATGAATCCCCCAATTTCCCCAAAAAGTGGCTCTCTAATACTAAGCATCGACCATCTATTTTAATAGGACTTAATAAGAAACGTTGGCGTAGAGCGTCGATAGATACCGTTAGAGAAGAACGCACGTGACAATATAGGATATGATGGCTTACTAGATGCGAGCATACTTCTTGACTAACTGCTTTTGATACAGTTCGATTGCGTTTTAAGATTTTCGTTCATTCCAATAGATTGCATTTGCATAAAAAATGTCAAGTCAACGGTCACGGGAGAGCGTATGACTATTAACTTTGTTAAGGATGTAGCTGCGCCGTCGAAAGTGCGTGGCTCACCTCAGCGATAGCTGAGAGTAACAAACTGTCAATGACCTTTAAAATAGGATTTCACGTACTGACGAGCCTAACTCGGATCGTACACACTAGTCCTAGATAATTGACTATTCTCGAGAAATAATACGATTCTCTACCGCTGGATTACGTCGTTGGGATTTTATTAAGAGGATAACGCGTTAAGAAAAGTAATATGTAATTATCCTAATGCCGCTCAGTCGATCGACCTTTCCGTTATACGGATTGATGCAGAATATTATCGTTTCAGCGTAAATGGATAGTTTATTATAATATAAGGAAGATAAAGGAATCGATATTAATATGACAATCAGCGAATTCTGAAATAATTCAAAAGCTTTTGATAAATTCTTTCTGATTATTTGTGCCCAGCATCCATACCTATAACACCGACGAAGAATAACTTGTGCTTGAACATCTCTTGTTCAGCAGCTTTTTGATACCATTCAACTGCCATCAGTCCATTCTTTTCGACCCCACACCCATACTTATAACACAAACCAAGATTATATTGTGCACTAACATTTCCTTCTTTTGATACCTTTTGTTCATTCTTTTCTATTCCAGTTGGAAAAGACAAGCGGGATGAGCTTAAACTCTGAAATAAAAAAGCAAACTTGTATTAGTATCGAGCACCAAACTTTTCTGCAGCGAGAATTCTCTGCATTTTCAGTCAAACATTAAACATCATCGAATACTAGAATTTTACGATTAACCATCACACCTACGGTAAAGGTGTCGATCCTTTTTTTAGAATCAGCTCGATCAATTCATCGGCCCTCTTACCTTATTCTGACAAGACAACGCTCGCAATGCCAATCAATATACACCCTCATGCTCGATGCGCAAGCGGCCAGATTCCATCCTTTCGACACCTATCGGCAAGAGCCTATATGACTTGGCTGCGTGAAGTTTCGGGTACGCCAACTTACGTTCTCAAGATTTTGTCACAGATTGTCGCCTGATAATGTTAATGTTAGTCGCTGCCCCAATCAATCCACGCTACTGAATGAATTTGAGGAATTTTTGTGCCATTCAATCATTCAGTTTCTTAATATTTAGCAGAAGACCAATTTACAAGTGGGCAATATTATAAATGTCAAACAGTCTTTTATTATGATGTTACGTTAAGATAAATAGCACCATACAATATGATTATTGATAAATCAAGTCCTCAGCCTTGATGATTTCCCGTCTTTTGGGTGGGGGGGGGGGGGGGGGGGGGACCACTAATATTAACTTTCTTTTCTTTTTAAAATTTTTTTTTTTTTTGTGCCCCCTCTCTTTGTTTTTTTTTGCC